ACAATGCAACGGATAGAATATGTTTGTTTAAAATAGGAATGTAACCAAAAATGAATTAGAATGACGAATAGAAACTAGAATGACAAAATTTTCCTTTTCTCTTGACGAAATTCGTTTCCTCGAAGAAGTGACGATTGTTATTTCGTCAATTTGGCAAAATGTTCGTTCGGAGCATGTACCAGGAAACGGTTTCGTCAAAAATGAAGAAAGTTTCGTGAAATTTGAAAATCCACTTTTTTACAGTGCGCTGTAGTTTACCGTCCAAGAGTGATGCACAATAATTACAGATAATCAAACTAATGTGCGGATAAATTAGGGCAAGTTATTTAAACAGACAAAAATTTGTTAATTTTTTAAATTACTTAGATAATCTGCTAAATACTTAGATAATCTGTACATAGCGCAAAATTAGCGGTCCACCCTGAATAACTTTTGATCTAATAATCGGAATCTCACCATCTAGGACTCAATCTTAATGGTTTAGGGCAGGGATGGGGAAACTACGGCCCGCGGGCCAACTGTGGCCCGCCGGAAGATTTTATCCGGCCCGCGGACAGAATTTTAACTAGCCGATCAGTGGCGAATATATCTACTTTGTTTAAAACTATTTTTGTTGATTTCTTTTTTAACAAAGTACTGATGACCTTTTCACTTTCTCTATTTCTGTTCTACAAAACATAAATTAATTAAAATAGTTAGCACAAACAGCTTTAACTGGTAAAATGTTGACAGCAAAAGTTCTTTATAGAATAGCTGTAGATTAGCTCCAACTAGTATTTGTCTTTCTCGAGGAGCAGACATATGGAATCTAATATAGGTGAATTGTACTTCACATGAGGCTGACTACGCGTTTTAAGTTCCAACGAACGGATTTTTCTGCCGGCTCGAGTTCTAACATAATTTACTGCGTATGGAAAAGTTGCACACATACAATGTCATTGTAAATAATGGTGAAATTATTAAATGCATAAAATGGCTACTGCCTTTTTGAGTTATTTGTAAACATTTTTTTATCCCACAATGGCAACTAAAAAACGCAAAGTTGATGTAGAGTGACGTGCACTCAATGATGAATTGACTTTATTTTATTTCAGAAGTTTTTACTCGGCCCACCAAACTTTTTTTTCTAGATTTTTGGCCCACGACCCAAAAAGTTTGCCCATCCCTGGTTTAGGGGGTGATCTCAAGTATGCTAATTACTTAGCGTAAACGATATTTTAAATTACAAAATCTGACACAAAAACGTATTTCCGCTAAAGAAAAGTAACTTCGGATTTTGTGACCCCCAAAATATAAGGGGTGACCGCAATGTGAGAAATATGGTCCCAATAGTTTGGTCAGGAGAAAGAATCAAATGTTAGCTTTCTTTCTTTTTTTTTTTTTTTCGTATTTCACCATATCTCGAGAAGTTTTTAAGCGAATAGAAATTATTTTTTTTAAACACAATTATAAAAATTCGGTTATCCAAAAATAATCCCATGCAAAAAATACCTTTTAGTAAATATTTCTTTCTTTCAATTTTACTTTATTTAGTAATAAGTCAAAAAAAAAAAAAAAAATTCAATTGTAAGGTATACAATTTTTACATCATTTTCAAGAATGTGACCATCATTTTACACATCAAAATACAAAAATTGAGCTAAATCGGTCGAATGATTTCTGAGAAAAAGAATTTTAAAAATACGAATTTTTTTTAAAGCTTTGACTTTTTTGGAGCGATGTCCTAGCTAAATAACAGAGCTTTATCCTAGATAAAACAAGAAATTAAACTGTTGTAGTTTTTATGCAACATGTACATGTACAAATGTAGCAATAGTTCTAATTTCAATGAAAATTAGTGATTCCTAAATTTTCTAAAAGGAAAACAAATTTTTTTTTGGATTATCAATTTTGAGAAGAAAGCCTGCAATGAAGACAAGGGGTAGTTTAAACACAGATAAATTTACACCAAGACAATTGTTTTTGCAAAAGTGAAAAGGTTTAAAAAAGATAAGTGAATTGAATCAGTGATTACATCACTGTTATAAATGCTTAGTAATCACGTTATAATTATGGATAAAAAAAAAAAAGTTGCACTTTTTTGATCCACTATAGTTCATAATTATAAAAAAGATGCACTTTTATAGTTATAGGACTACTCCCACATATTATCATTGAACAAAGAGTTTTGAACTCTTTGACTTGCAATGTATAAATTATGGGTATTGTGAAACAATTATAGTTTTGGAATTATTCCCAGATAATTGAACAAAAAAATTACTATTAATGATGAGTTGAATGATTATGGAACAAAGAACATTTTGACTTAATCCTTGTAATAATTAGTCAAGTTAATATTACGGAAAATCTAAGTGATGATTAGAGCTGATACCGATTAAATGACCAGCAACCGGACTGCGATTTCATTAAAATTCAAAGCAATGTCCACATCACTTTCCATACTTCAGAAAATTTCTTTTCTCATAAATACAGAAAAGCCTTCCTTCCTGGGCCAGAGATTTTGCGAGATTTTTCTTTTATTTCCTGCCCCCCTGCCTATTCCAGAAGCGATCGAAATCTAGATCGCCTTTTCATTCTGCCAGCATCCCCCTCTCTCTCTTCGGCAAAGACCCCCCATCCCCCACTTCAGGATCCTCCCCCGCACGCAGAGGAGAGAGAGATGATGCGGAGGAGAGGGTCCTTCCATCTCTATATATATTCCAGGATAGAGAGGGGAGGACGTATGTGTACATGTGTGTGTCCGAACTATAATTGCACATTCCTGGCATTCCATTCCCGAAACGGGGATGGGGTTTGGGGGGAAACAAGGAGAGCCATTTTTCGCAAAAGTCGTCACTTTGTCTGCATCAGGTCTGAATGAACGTTATTTCCCCCAATCCCCCTTTCCCCCAATCTTCGAATGCGAGTTCCCAAAGGCGTGACTCGGTTCCCGACTATGTCAACATCCCTTTTCTCCAGTTTTTTTTTTATTCCTTTTTCCTTTCAGGAAAGCATCTTTCATTTTTTTTTTCTTCTCTCTCCTTTTCCCAGAAACTCTCGCAGTGAGAAACAGAACAACCCATCTCCAAAGATGTGCTCATTTTAATAATATTTTCCAGGACACAAAAGAGAGATGTTTTGCTTTTTTATTTGTGCTTTTAAATACGAACATCGAAATATTCAAACAACTGATTTCGTTTGATACAATTTGAGGTGCACTGATGCACAGTAATAAAAGTTTCGCTCGAAAATAGCAATTTGGAAAGATAACGTCATGGTGAAAATACGATGCTATAAGATCACGATTCGCTGTATAAGGTGTTAATGTTTATAAGTTGGAAAAAAAATCACTATTTGGAATAAAAAGTGTTAAGTTAAGGATGTTCATAATGCAATACTATTAGGAGTAAAAGATATGAAGTTTAGGATGTTATTCATAATCAGAGTAAAAGGGCTTAAGATTAGGATATTAAAAATATACCTTATTTAGAGTAAAAAGAGATAAGTTTAGGATTTTAAAAATATAATATTAATTGGAATAAAAAAGCTATATAATAGAGTAAAACAATTTGAATTTTGTGAACTGTATGCACGAAAAAGACTATTTCAAAGCAAGATAAATATACGATTTCAACTTAACTTTCAGAGCAGAGAGATCATGTTTTACACGGAACTGTGGTACCCAAAACCTAGTCACTGTCTATAAGCAGGATTTAAATTATGCATCGCAAGCAATTTCATCACTTAAAGTAAAATGCCGGCAGGAATTCTGAAACGATGTGACGCAGTCTTAACAAGGTTATTCGAACCTTTTCGCCCAAGAAAATTAAAAAAAAGTCACAGTTTAAGGGCCTTACACTTGAAGCAAACCTGTAATTTTAAACTGTATATGCCATCTTTCTGTAAAGAATTATCTGGGATTTAGAACGGATAAATAACTAAAATATTTCAAAAGTTATTAAACTTTTTTTAAAAATCGCAAATTTGGCGATATTTTTGGTCTAGATGAAAATTATTAAATCAATCCCTTATTTCCATTTTTTTTTTTTTTTTTNTTTTTTTTTTTTTTTTTTTTTTTTTTTTTTTTTTTTTTTTTTTTTTTGCAAACTTTAATAAACCTCGATAATGCAGTAAGTAAGTTTCGAAATATGTAAAAATTAGACCACAAACGCTTTTCATTTTTTTTCAAAACTGGCTTTTCCATATTGACATTTCGCGCCATTTTCAAAATGATGTAGAGGGAGCTGTCGAAAGATAAACTAAACTTGAACGTAACGGTCAAGACTAACTGTTGAAAACTCACATCACTTATTAGAGCAGCTTTTTATTCGCAAAAAATTTCACGCAACTAAAGGGCCTTCGAAAAACAGACTTTAGAAAGCCTGAATGGCAAATTCACTTCTCAAGCTCTAAGATTTTATGTTTAGAAAAGAGCCGACCGGCCTGTCAGGTAATTGGCCTTGCATCAGAAAGGTTCTGGGTTCGAATTCCGGGCAAGGCATGGATGTTCTTCCACTCTCTGTACTATCTGTCCTTACTGTGGGAGCAACGTTGGCTCACCTAATAGGGTGCCCCTGGAAAAGTGGCCAACAAATCTGCCCTTCAGATGCCTGTATGACATAGGTCATTCCCCAGGCGGGCATTGGAAAAAAAAAATGTTTAGAAAAGTAAGAATTCTGTTAAATTTAAAGTAAGTAATGAAGTTTCAATTGCTGAAATTTTTTTCTCCCAAAATATAAAAATGTAAACAAATTATGGGACGATTACGCAGTGAGGAAGGAATCTTGACATAATTTATTTGTATTTTGATACAATGAAAAAAAAAATCAGCATTTGCAACTTCATGTCCTACTCTAGGTTTGTCTGAACTCACTTTTTCTACACTTAAAAATTTTAAATTAGTAATTGAGATGAAAAAGAATCTGGAATCTATATTTCCTTTTTACAATGGACTAAGCTAGAGTGTTAAGTTGATCTTAGAAAATGTGCCTTTAATTTCGTAAATTGCAATCCATACTTACCATACATTTTGCCTTCATCTGAGAGGATAATCTTTCTCCGGCCACAAGGAGGATAAATGGCCAGAGCTTCTTGGAAACTCTGTTCAATATCGGGGCTCCACACACCCTCAGCGTCCGAGGAGGAGAGGTCATTTTTACCACCTCCACTAGAGTCCTTGGAATCATCGTCTTCAGAGCCATTGAGGTCTGGAGGAGCTAAGGGTGGAGGAGCCACGTGCCCTGTCGGTAGTGGGCCCGTGGCGGGCACTGCTGATATCCAAGAAGAAATTTTGGCGGCCTTATTTGGAGCAGAATAACCTAGAATGGAAATTGATACATTACTGAAAAATGTATTGTACTGTATATTACATGGGGGGGGGGATATACAAATAATAAAATTAGCAAAAAAAAGTAAAAACTTTAGGGGTCGTTCAGTATCACGTAAGCATCTCACAGGGAGAGTCAGTTTGTGGTTTTATTATTTTTGCAGATAAGGAAAGGGGGGACGAAAATTATGGGCAATGCATTAAAATCACATTATTTTCAATTTTTCGTAAATAAATGTATCTTCTGTTAAATATATATATAAAATATCACAAAAAACTAGGAAAAGAGCTACACATGAAAAAAAATTTAAATTTGAAATAAAAGTTACGTTTGAAGGGGAAAAAAAGTTACAAATAATTTCTTCATAATTTCTTCAAGACAAAGGTCAAGATTCTTAAAAAATGCTCTAGTCTAAATTTTATAAAATGAATTGAAATATAGATTTTGTTTATACAAAGCTACATTATTTGAATTTAATCCTAAAATTCGATTACTATTGTAAATTTCAAAGTTAAAACAAAAACAAGAGATTGCGATTTTCTTACGTAAGCGAGGGAGGGGGATTTTAAATTCATAAGAACAATATATTTGACATTAAGACAACTAAATTCATAAAAATTTAAACATAATACCAAATAATTGAAAACATATAAAAAAAATTAAAAAGCAAGTTTTTAAAATATACCAAAAAAGAGAATTTTTGTTTCTTTACCACCTCAAAACGTAAACCGCAGAGCTTTCGAGAGTTAGATAGCACTGGGGAGTTTTGATATGATAAAACTGATGAGCTCAACGCTTTGGGTCTGAGAAAAACATAGTTTCTTCATTTTCGATCTCCTTAAAATATGAATTTTTAGAAAGATTTAATTTATTATTTTCTTTTCTTTAGTTTAATAAGTGTTGGTTGGTTTGAGAAAGGGGTTAAAATTTCAAATAGCAATAAATTTCGTTGATGTCACTTACGAAACAATTCCAGCTTAGATTGGCCCAAAGCAACATTCTCAAGTAATTAGTCTAAAAATGAACTTAAGATGGACGATAAATTCAATTTAGCAATAAAATGATAAATCCTGCTATATGTGATCATTAAATGATAGTATCTTGCATTGACATCAGACATACAGCTCCAGAAAATGTAGTTAGTTGTAAGTTGATGTAATTCTGATTGACAATATATTCTATTTCGCAATAAAATGGCGATGCATTTTGCTTCGGGCAATCATTAAACGATTGTAACTTGCATTGACATTAGACACAGAGCTCCAGAGAAGATTTGAAAATGTAGTTAGTTGTAAGTTGATGTAATTCTGATTGACAATATATTCTATTTTGCAATAAAATGGCGATGCATTCTGCTTTAGGCAATCAAACGATTGTAACTTGCATTGACATTAGACACAGAGCTCCATTTGAGCTCCATTATAGTTAGTTGTAAGTTGATGTAATTCTGATTGACAATCTATATTATATAAAACGCTAATACGTACGTATGTATGTATCAATAAAACCGATGATATTTCTTTTCTCGCGCTGGCAACAGTTTTCATTTTTAATTGATTGGATTCGGCGCGCAAGAGCACGTAGTGAGCAACCAGATAACAATAACCAGAGTGAGCATTATCAGGTTGTTCAATTCAGATTCATGCACTAAAAAC